TCCCCAGATGGCAGCCTGCGGCAAGTGCAGCCGGTCTGATGGCCGAGTGCTGTGATGTGCCCAGTGTGGGCACTCCGGGCACTCCAAGCCAGGACTGGTTTGCAAGCAGGGCACCCCTGAGAACTGTCTGTCCAGGGTGGTGGTCGGGTCACTTTAAGCGCAGCCCTCGGCTAGCCTGAGACAGCATCTCCACGCTCTAAGTCCTCCTGTGATGCCCTGCCGGCACTGCTTCCGGCCATCCTTAAGCCCGGTTCAGGGTCCACTTAATGTGGACATGCTAGTTCAAATTAGCAAAACGCTAATTCGAACTAGTTTTTAGTTCTAGACGCGTTAGTTCGAATTAGCTTAGTTCGAATTAACTAATTTGAACTAAGTTAGTTTGAATTAGCACTGTAGTGTAGACGTACCCTAATTGCTTTATACTACTCCAACGTGATGAGGCAGTCAACATCCATACTGATGTATTCTATTCATAAATGTGTCTCTTGCATGGCATTTCCTTTAATCAGAGCATTAAACATTCTGGGCTATATCCCACATTTTGGTGGATCTTTGCATTAAAAAGACGCTGAGTCTTTTTAAGATGGAACATAATAAAACCATGCTGTGCATTAGCAGGCTAAGAATCCATCTAGCTTCACATTTTTGAGAATTCTTATTTTTGCAAGAGATTAGAATTAAGAGTGTGATCAGCCCTCTTGTTCTCTGACAAAGCCCAGCAACTTTTTTAAGTCAACAGGAATTAAAAATTGGAAGGCAGCAAAGCCTTCCTATATAGCAACCAAAAAAGCTCCTCTGCTTGTTCTTTTAAAATCAGACCTCAAGGGCTGCTGCATAGTCAGTGAGACGTTCCCTTCCTCCCAGTGCTTATATTTTCTTTGAATGATCATTGCTTTACTCTCATGTTTGCGTGGAAATATAAACCTGAACATGGGAAGGTTATCTCTCTTCCTCTCCTTTGATGTGTTTACTGTAACCCACATTACTAACAAAATTACTCAGTGGCTAAGGTAGCAGGAAGAGGGGACCTAGGTAAACAAACTACATCTGTGTACATTTCATTTAGCTTTTGTTTAGTTTGTTGCTACTGTGGTTTTGCTTGTCCTTTTTAAACTCTACAAAGCTGCCCAAAATGGTGACACTTGGTGGTAATTCTTGTCATTGTCGGTTATTTCCTTCCTTAGCCGGAAGCTTTAGTCAAGCTCTAATTATTCTTTTTATTATTCAGCTAGATCCTGGACCCAGAGCAAGTCCCTTTCCGCTGCTCACAGGGTATTGACTGTAGGAAATTCCCCCAGTGGTGCCGGGGCATTCCAGGAATGAGGAGGGATGCACGGCTCAGCTGAAGTGGGCTACATTCAAGGGTACATCTACACAGTGAGTGACAGCCTACAGCAGCATGTCTCCAGCTCCCGTCAACAAACTCGGGATCATGCTACAGGACTAGAAATAGCCATGTAGACATTGCGGATTAGGCTGGAGCTGAGGCTCTAGGAGCCCACTCCCTTCCTTGGATGTCAGAGTCTGAGCTATAGCCCAAGCCACAACATCCACAAAAGCAAGGAGGAGTCCTGTGGTACTTAAAAGACTAACAAATATATTTGGGCATACATTTTGGTGGGCAAATCCCACTTCATCAGCTACATTGGAGTGAAAATTTACAGAGACAAGGTGTATATAATATATGTATGTACTAGTATATCAAAAGAAGGGAGTTACGAATCAAGTGTAGGACCAGTGTTAGCGAGGCCAATTCAATCAGCATGGATGTGCTCCCGCCCCCCCCAATCTTTAAGGTCGCAGCGTGAACCTAGATTCCCTCTAAGTTGTGCAGCAGCACGGCCCCACAGCTGCTTAATCAGCCCCACCCAGTGAGGGGCTCAGGGCTCCGCGCATGGTCCTGCCTGGCTAGGGGAGGGGAACTTCCCCCTCAGCTACCAGAGCAGCTCCCTGCTGAGGACAGGGCAGCCAGTCTCTCCAAGCTGGAATGTGGCTCTGAGCCTGCTTTGGAATAATTGAGGTTTGCTCTTTGTTAGTACCTAAATATTATCTTACTGTAGCATTCAGAGATGCAGCCAACCCAGACAGGGGCTCCATTTTGGCTGGGTGCTGTTTGAATAAACAGACAAAGTCCCTGCTACCAAAGACTTAGGCCCAGATTTTTTTTTTTTTTTTTACAGGTGGTTAAGTGTTGCCGCTCCCAGCCCTGCAACAGCAAAGGGTTTGGCTACACTACAGAGTTAAATCACCAAAACAAAAATCGCCACAGCATGTTCACATTTGCTTCTTCTGTCAACAGACTGGGGACACCACACTGGGGAATTCATCATCAACAGTGTGAGCAATGCATCGTGGGTATGTATTAGGGACGTCAACATGTAGCTGACTACATCGTTAACAGATAAGCCTGGGCTTATTGGTTAATATTGCAGCAATGAAAGGGGGGGAGGGAGCAGGAGCCGGGGTCTGTGAGAAACTGCCTTTAAGCAGGCTCCCCATAAGCACCAGATCTGCCTGCACCTCCCCACCCCACCCCCAAGGGCCAGCAGCATGGAGGGTGAGGAGGGCAGGCTGGAGCCGATATGTATGGGGAGCCAGTGCACCCCGCTGCCTCCTACAGAGGCAGCAGGGAAGAAGAAGCAGGAGATGGCTTAAAAGCTGGTTCCCCCTAGCACCAGCTCCACAGTGCCGCCTTCTCCCAACACTGCTGCTTCTATCAGGAGCTAGAACAGGGGTACCCTGCAGGCAGAAGCTGCTCCGTCTTCCAAGTCAGAGTAGGCCAGGCCTGTGGGGTGCCTGGACCCATGACAGACAGAGGATGCTCATTCCAGGACGGCAGGGGGGAAGCCAGTTAACCCCCAACGGTTAACTCAGTGGTCCCCAACCTTTAGAGGCTCCGGGCGCCTGGGGTGGGGCCACTCACACGCTGGGCGCCCGGGTACATTTCTTGGAACCCCCAAGAAGCACATTTACGATCACCCATAACCATGAAACAGGATATTCGGCAGACCTGGAGACCCAGAACATATAGCTGATAGAGCCAGGGCCACGTCCTCAGTATGCATTTGCATTGCCAAAAACCATGTTCCCATCTAGAGAGCTCCCAAGAATGTTGCCACTCCTTCCTTAACAGCTCCTAGTGCTCTCCTGCTGTCACAAGCCTAGATTCTACAACTTGTCATCAGTGCACTGTGAAAATACAAGACTTCTGCCCCAGATTTTTCCCTGTGCTGCAGCCCCTTAATGCTACCCACTGTGCCCCTTTTCCCTCTTTCCTGAAACCAGCACAGCAAAGAAGCAGCTGTGAATCTGACCAGAGTGTGGAGTTGCAGGGGTTAGGCATTAATCTCCAGTTCAGTGGAAAGGCCCATGGGAATGATGATGTATGAAGAGCTCCAGTAAAAAACCCGCATTTTAAAGGCACCTGTGCCTGCTTGGCCCCTCTTTCCAGCCTCCCCACAACACACTCACTCACCCCTTCACTGTGATTATTGGCCAAAATGCAATTCCAGCTCCAGAAGACTGAGGAGGGAAGGGGGATGAAGTGGGGAGGAGGGTGCTCCATGTGGCTTCTTTTGCGTTCAAACCAAAGAAACAAACACACACAAATATCTCAGCTGCCTGTGCCAATCCCATTTTCTCATGGGAGCTTTGCCTGCTGACTCCCAATATATACCCGATTTCCGAGGCCTATTTTGTGGAAAGAACACACGGGATACAGCAGAGCATAAGCTCTGTTTTGCCAATCAGAGATGTAAGGCTATGTCTAGACCGCAGACTTCGCAGAAGAGATTTTCCGCAAAAACTTCTTGCACAAGAGCACGTCCACATTGCAAAAGCTCATTGAAAAGGCAATGCGTTTTTGCGAAAGAGAGCCACCAGGGCACCTTTTCCTCTTTCCTGTGCCTTTTCTTCTTTCCTCTTTTTGCACAAAAAACAAAAACAAAAAAAACCCTCTTCCCCATCTACACACACCTTTTTGTGAAAGAGCTTTTTTTGCAAAAAGGCGTTTTTCCTTGTAGAATGAGAAATACCTACGCCAGAAAAACCCCTCTGGTCTTTTGATTTTTTTGCGCGAAAACACACTTGACGCTCTGCACGTTTTTTCAGAAAAACAGCCGTTTTTCCGAAAAAACTGTAGCATAGACATATTCTAACAGAAAATTCATTGCACCCACGGCCTGAAAGGGGATACCTCTCTGCCTTGGGCTATGGTTTCATTATCCCTTAAGATTCTTCCAAGGAGCGCTTGGTAGCTGCTTCCCTGCTCCCCTTTCTCCAAAAAGAAAGAAAGACATTCTTTTAAACCAACAATTAACAGTGGTTATTAAACAAAAATAGGCCCATTTGGCAAGATGCTGAGTGCCTGGAGATGTGCCTAGCAACTTGCAGGGCCTGGCCCTTTTGTAGTCCCTAAAGACTGACCTGAACAATTTGAAGGTCAGGAGTGTTGAGATCCAGGGTTCTGGGTTTGGGTCTGTCAATTAATTGAGGTGCCTGCTTACCATATGAACTTCAGAGAGAATGGAAATTGTCATTTCCCAGGTAGGAGGCAGTGCCCTGCTTGCACATGAAAATTATCTCCTGTAATCCTAAGGCAGTTGACCTTGATTAATGCTATTGGTGCTGCTACTACAAATAACAGATAAAACTGAATGCAAGTTGTGGATCCCTTCTCTTTGCAAACCACTCTGTGGATTACCCTTCCCTTTAAGAAAAGGAATACAAATCGTTCTGTCACTGACCCATTATCCCTCCCTGGCACTCGCTATGCGTCAGGTTCTGCACTGCAAGCTACCTAAAGTTAGAGTAATCTCCACTGTCTGTTCCTTTGAAACCAAGCTCCATGATTCTGCACGTCATTGCCCATAAGCAGAATGAAAGTATTTTCCTACCTGCTGGCAAGCAAGTCAGTAAACCCTGCTGAGGAGCAGTCTCCTAACAAAGCAAGTACCTTTCCCAGTTCTGTTTCTGGCACCAGCTGTCTACTCTGAATAGTTTAACGGGAGGGATTTCTTGGTGGTGTTTGAGGTTATTTGGGAATCAAGAGGAAAGCACCTATGAATGCCTTGCCTCAGAGCCTGGTCAGCATGTCTGATGAGGTGATAGCATACAAATGCCAGCCAAGCTTCTCTGTGAAAAGAGCCTAATTGCTCTTTGTAGCAGTTGCGCCTGGAAATAGCTAAAAGCTAGTAGTCTGGGTTTACATTACCTTTAGACTCCAGAAGAAAAATAACTTCTGGTTTATGGAGCCAGGGGAAAATAAGTGTTGCTTGCTCTGCTTGTTTTCTGAGTAATCGTGTATCCAGCTCTCTGCCTGAAACCCACATCAGTTGGTGCTGTCATCATTGCTCATCTAAAATAGAAAGTGTCATTGCTCATTATGGACAACAGACAGCACCAAACTATAGGGACCTACCACAACAAAATGAGTCTCCTCCCCTGCTGACATATCCCCGAGCCACAGAGCCTAGGAGTCCACCCAGCATTAAAAGGCCTGAGGTACCTTGAGGTACCATCAGTCATTTTGAAATAGAGGGTTTTTTTTTCTTGTGTACTCCTGTTGTTTCTAATAAGCTCTTTAAATCTTAGAGCAGAAATCTCTATATTCCCTACTAGCATATGTTTGGTTGTTTGTAGGTTGCTCATGAGTACAGGGCTGTGTACAGTAAGTGGTTTATTATAGCCCTTGAGCAGTGGGCTGTGTGTATTGGTTTGTGGTTGCTGCGTAGCTAGCTGGGTTCTGTACAGTTTTTGGTGTTGCAGGGTTGTTGCACACTTAGCTCTTTTGCATCCAGTTTCACCACCTGCAAAATGGATGATTCTGATCTTACAGGGTTTAGGAGGAAAAACAATGTTTTAGAGCAGTGTTACTCAACGTGGGAAACTCTGGGGGCCACAATGATACTCACAGCACATGCCGAGGACCGCAACTTAAGTGTGGTTGCATATACATGCAAATATATGCAAATAGCTTCTTTCACACTGACAGGCATGAATACAAAGATTAAGGCAAGACTACACAACACACAGGCCTCATTTAAGTCAGTTCTGCTGATATTAATAAAATGCAATATTTACCCGATTTCCACCCACATCACAGCACTTTTAATGAGCAATGGTTCTTGAGGAATTTAACTACTAAACACATATCAACAGAAGACCATTATATTGCCTACTTTTTTGTTTTGGCTCCCACCCACGGGCTGCGAGTTGAGCCCCACGTAAACCCAAACTGCACCTTGGGCCGCAAACAAACGGGCCGCAGGCCACGTGTTGAGTAGCCCTGATTTAGAGTCTTAAAACTTTGTAGTACTTTAAAGACTAACAAGGTGGTTTATTAGGTGATGAGCTTTCATGGGCCAGACCCACTTCCTCAGATCAAATAGTGGAAGAAAATTGTCACAACCATATATACCAAAGGATACAATTAAAAAAATGAACACGTATGAAAAGGACAAATCAAATTTCAGAACAGAAGAGGGATGGGGGCGAGGAAGGTAAATGTCTGTGAGCTAATGATATTAGAGGTGATAATTGGGGAAGCTACCTTTGTAATGGGTAAGATAATTGATGTCTTTGTTTAAGCTTAGGTGTAAACTGTCAATGAATGACAGTTCAGAGGATTGTCTTTCAAATGTAGTCTTAAAAGGTCTTTGAAGCAGGATGCAGGTAATCAGGTTGTTGAGACAATGTCCCTTCTGGTTGAAATGGCAAGAAACTGTTTTTTCTTTGTGATCCTGTCTAATATTTGTTTTGTGGGCATTGATTCTTTGGTGAAGTGTCTGAGATGTTTGTCCAATGTACATAGCAGACGGACACTTTCGGCACATGATAGTATAAATTATATTTCTGGATGAACAGGAATATGTGTTCTTGATCTTATAACTCACTTGGTTAGGTCCAATAATTGTATCATCAGAGTGAATATGTGGACAAAGCTGGCAACGGGGTTTGTTTCAAGGGAAGGTACCAGGGTTGGTATTAGTGTGGTATGTCCTGTGGTTGTTGGTAAGAATCATCTTGAGGTTAGGTGGTTGTCTATAGGGGTATGTCTACACTA